GGGGGGGGGGGGGGGGGGGGGGGGGGGGGGGCGGGCGGAGGGGGTTACGACTGTATAAAAATGTACAGTGGTTTTTATTTGACATACATTCCATAGATGAAACAGCTGCAAAATAGGAGGCACACCCAGTATTGCACTTCATTAAAAGTTCTGGCTCAAAACAAAACCCAGAATACCAAACAACTGAAGAGAGCAACTTCGGAATACAGCTACTTTGAATAGTTTCGCTATATACAAGATTAGATAAATCGTACACTATTTCCATCCCGAAAGCGATATTCTTAACAGTCTTAACAACCAACTCACCTTTTTGTCATCTGTCAGCTCATGATGCACTTGACAGAGGGGAATACTATACAAGATTACGAAAAAAATGTTTACATACAACAATATTTTAAATTTATAGTAAGGAAGCTGGAAATATGGCCCCTTCTTTTTTTCGTTTTTTTTTCCTTCCCCTCTTTTTAAACTCACGCTCATCCTCAGTTGCGTTTAAGCAAATTTATTTGATCTTCAATGTTACATCGTTACAGTTCAGTGATTGGGAGGTGTGCAATGTCTATAGAAGCCGAGGGATTACAACGGCTGCATGCAAACACGTCACAGGTTATTTTATTATTTTTTTTCCATTCTTCTTTTAAAAAAACAAAACCAAAAAAAAAACAAACAAAAAAAAAAAAGAACTGGATTTTTATTATTAAGCTTGCTCTGAATCCAAAGGAGCAACAGCTTGCGTTTGCAGCAGAACCTGGATCCTGATGTTGGTGAAGGAGCAGACCTGACAACTCGGCGTAGAACGGAAACCTGGTCTGCGGTCCAGAAGACTCAAAGCCAGAGCCGAGCTTCATCGCCGAGTCTCAGCAGCGGCGGCTATAAAAATCACAGTAGACCGACTGGTTTTCAGCGAGTCTCTTAAAGTTTAGAAGGTGTGGGCGTTCCTGCACACTCCACAGCCCAGAGCAAATTCTTCGCCCGTCGGAGGGTGGACCACATGCAGGGGGCACTCAGTGCCTTCCAGCTGCTTGCCTTTGGGCCCTGCAACACAGAGATGGCAATTAAACCTTTTAGCAATTTCTCTGGAGGCATCACAGTAAAAACAGCACTTAGGTATTTTATTATGTTATAACCACAAACATGAATGGATATTTTCCTCACAGCAAAACTCAAGCACTTCTCAAACATTTTCAAAGTAAGTTTTCAACACCACACTTTGGAGATAAAAATAAATAGACTAAAAATGTTCAGTTCATTATTACAATATATATTTGTGATCGTATTCTACGTTTTACAGCAGGGATAAAAAAGGTAAACTAAAACTAATTCTCCTTTCACAGAGAGCTTGAAAGTGGAAATGTTTTACGCTAAAGCACAAACGATTCATGGCGGGCAATTAAAAGTCTAACCAAAATGGCAGATCAGAAAAATCTAACAAACATTCACATTTGTTTGTGTAAATATAATACTTTTTAGGCAACCAAAAGAAAAACACATTCACCACTATTTAAAGGCTTCAACTGACACTATCGGCTAAAATAAGACTCCTGAAACTTTGAGGATAAGGTAACATCATATTATTGTTTTCGAGAGACACCATCCAGTCACCTGCAGGACAACGAGGGAGCTCCTCCTTGGGGACGCTGGTCATCCTCTGGAAGTCGTCGTGGCAGGCGTTACAGAAGTGTGTGGTTCCAAAGCAGAAGAAGACGGCCACGGAGCAGCAGTAGCGGCATTTATACTCCAGGAAATCTGTGCCGTGTTTGGAGCACATCTGATGAACGCACAAGGGAGAGAACATTAGGCGGATTTCTGGCAAAACGCAGAAATTTTGGAAACCATTTCGAGATCTTCCATCTAGCGTAGCTGGGATTCTTTACGGGCGTCATTCACTCACCTGGGCCCTGGAGACGTCCGAGCATGCTCCACAGATCAGTTCGCTGGGGTCGTAGTCATCACCTTGTCCTGCTTCTGCATCACAGCGAGCCTCTCCTCCAAAATACGCCTACAAGAAGGGACACTGTTGATTTTTTTCCCCTCAATCCATGTAAAACATTTGAGCCAAAAATTAGATCAACGGAAGCCATTTGTGACCTTTTTGCACTTGTAGCAGACGTAGTACGCATATCTGTTCATGGCGAAGCCTGCGGGGTCGTTGTGGAAGCGCGCTCCTGGCGTAGTTATCGCCTCGCTCTTGTGAAGCCCCTCGTACTCCAGTCTCATCAGAGCTTTTCTCCTCACGTCCTCATACAGCTCCTTAATGGGGTCGAGGAGGTCTTTGATCACAGAGTGATTGATTTTGTTCTGCAGAGGACAAAAAAGAAAAAAAGAAAAAAACACAGGATAAAACTTCATGAAATTCTTTTTAAATACACTACATAGAGTCTGAATATCGCCATGTCTAGAGATGGTAACATTTTTAGCAAGCTAATCTCAAATATTGCGTAATACCTTGCAAATTGGACACAGCATGAACCCAAACGTGATGCGTGGCCCGAGCCAGCGGTTTTCAAGAACCCGTCGAGTGCACTGAAGGTGAAACACGTGAGTGCAGTCCAGCTGGAAGCAGAACCGGCAGTTTAACGTTAAGGCGAGCTAATTTATAAACTTGAAATAAAAAAAGAAGCTAAACTCAAAGCCACCTGTACTGCAGGAGCTGCCGAGAGCGCCTCTGTAAAGCAGATCATGCACATGTCGTCTGCGTCCTGTTTCAGGCAGCCGGTGTTCTTATCGCAGCCATGCAGACACGGCAGGCAGGTCTCCTCGTTCTTGACGCCTCCACAGGGGTGACCGCAGGGATGAGTCTTACTGCAGGCCAGCTTTGCGTACTCCTGAGAGAGTCGACAGGCAAGGAGGTGGTGACGTTTATGAAGTACGATACACAAAAGTATTTAGTGGCTTTTGGATGTACCTGGATTAATAAATGTGTTAGAAATAGTTTATTGTGCAGAGGGAGACGCTCATCCTCCACCAACAGCACATTTGTAGAAACATTTTCTATAGGCTCCATTAAGCAAAACTATATTATGTAGTCAGTAAAATATATTGTTGATAATCTATAAATCTGTGTTTATTAAAAAATTATTAAAATTATTTTTCTCGCTAAAATATGCGGGGTTTGAACCATTATTGCTTTAAAGGGTCAAAGTACAACAATGTGTTGTTGTATATGGTATTAAAATAAACTATATGGATCGTTTGTTTGCAGTGGATGATTGAGCTCAGTGGATCCTCCACACCTGACAGTCTGGGTCTGAGCAGACGCTCCCCACTGCAGACAGTTCGGTTCCATTTCTTGTGCCACAGAACCTGCAGGCGTCTGAGCTGCTGGATGCTGGTTTACCTGCAAAAATATTAAACATGTGAGCGGAAAGAAGACGTAAGCCTGGGAAGGCAAAGACTGAGAAATTAAAGATATTTTTTATCTTATAATTTTATTGGATTTCTGACATGAGAATGTTAGCGATTCCCGTTGTCACGCCTAAGTTACCCGTGTGCTCTCTGAACTCCACCATGGCCTTCATCGTCTTTGAATCGGCGAGAGCCATGAGCCAGAAGAGCTTGGTCCTCCCACAACCTTCATGGAGGTCGACCTTTATGGCCTCCTCCTCCTCCTTAAACACCTGAAGAGCAGAAGAACACAAAGCTGAAACCAATGAACTAACAAAAATGGCCACCCAGATAGAAATCAGCTGGTAAGTGGAATTGAGTTAGAGAAATTAACCACATGTAAATACTATGGACCTGTACTTTGCCATCAGTGAGAAGTTTAAAATTACAGCTTAATTAATTAAATTATTACAGCAGAAGGATTTGATAAATCTGCTTTGAAAGTCGTTTTTATTTCTTATAAAGTTCTTAAAGAGAAATCTTAAGGGCCAAAACTGGAACCACAAGATTCGACCAGAGATCATAATTTGTGCTTCTTAACCTTACCTTAGCAGTGACAAAAACTTACTGATATTAAAGCAAACTTCGGACACAAACCTGTCTCTGGTGGGAGCGAGTGCGTCGGTGAAGATGGAGGAAGCGGTCGCAGTCGGTGCAGAGGTTGCCGCATATGTTACACAGGATGATAGCTGCCGTCTCGCCGTCATCGTGATTGTCACACATGGGCTGTGGGTGGGGAGAGAAGGGAATAAATTATTACCCTTCGATTTAGCCTCGCACGCTTCACTTTTCACACCCATTTATAAACCTCACCATCTGCTTCTGCTGTCCGTCTTTCCCCATCCAGCGACCAGAAGAGAGGCGGTCTACGTGATCCTGGTCAAGAACGCACAGCGACGCCAAGGCGAGCCACAGCTAAAGGAGGAGGAGATGAAATACTTACAGCGCCGTCGATAAGCGACATCTCTAATCACCGATTTGTGCTTCTGAATTGCTTCCTTTACCCTTGTTGTTGCTATGCAGCGAACAGGAGAGCGATGCTCCTCCTCCATTTTAGTCAACGCTATGATGGTCTCGGCAATTGCGTTCTTGGTCACTCTGGACCAGGCGTCCGACAGGTGGCCCTGCAAACAACGTGTTACTTTAATCTGTGTAGGTCTGCAACTAACTATTATTTTAGCAATCGGTTATCCTATTGATTAATTGAATACAAAATTGGCACAATCTGTAGATTTTTGACTTAGCCACTTAAAGCTTACTTTATACAAAATTAGAAAGATATTAAAATATGCAAATAAAATAATTCAGTTCCTTTTTTACATAAGAAAATAAACATTTTATTGCCTACAGTGCAATAGCATACCATTCATTTAGTGTACGCTTGATCGTTTGTAGCAAAGGATGCATCTGAAGCTAAAACGTACTTCTAACATGCGACAAGTCAAGCAGAAAGGACTGAGCCTATCGATTCAGTGTAGAGCTTATCTGTTTTCTATTTTTATGGATTAACCGACTGATAATTGGACAGCAAAAGGTGCTTCACAAAAGACTTTATTACGTAATTGAACCAAGTTAAGCTCAAGCTATGCTATGAAAGGACTTCTGGGTTGAAAATGTTAAATGTCAAAAAAGTTAAACACTCACCGCCGCCATATCTTTGACCAGCTTTATGATGATCTCAGCTATCTGCGGAGGCGTGGAGCCTTTCATCCACCAGTGGCTCTCACCTCTGCGAATGTAGCTGCGTACAAAAAAAAAAAAAGAGAACGAAAACGTAAAACAAACTGACGTCAACAAAAGCCCCGTCTCTGGAATCTTCCACAAAACTCCAGCTCACCTGGAGTTGAAGATCATCGGTAGAGTGACGGTCGTGACGCCCTTCCCCGCGACGGTGCCGCCCGTCCCGGCGATGGTGGTGCCTTTGGCTTTCAGCTGCACAGTGAGGGCCTTCGCGATGCAGCCCAGGAACATGTCAAGGATGCACAGCTTGTTCCAGTCGCCTTTCTCCGTGGAGTGGATAATGTCGCTGATGTCTGCCGGGGGAAGAGCCTTAACCCCGATGATGCTGGCGAGGCGGACCGGCGTCACCTCCGGCAGGACACGTCGAAGCAAAGATGTCACCTAAGACGACAACGGTCATGAGGCAAATGTTAATAAACTCTATTATACAGGTAATATTTTAATCCTATGAACAGTTTGTTTGATCCATCAACCATAAAGTCTTAAAATCTAGTGTCAGTTCCACAATATGGATGGGCGATAAATTGATTTTATACAGCTGTAAAACAAAGTTGAAATGAGATGAGAATGAAGTTGTAATATTGATTTTTTTTCTCATAAAAATCCGACACGGATTAAACGAGGAATGTTGAGCAATATTATGAAGTTTTACTTTGATATTAGTTTAACAGATAAAGAAATATTTTTTAACACATCAGCATAAAATTATTATTGGTAGCAGGACTTTGTGCAAATAACTGAATCTATTTTGAAGAAACGACCACAGATAGTGAGTCATGCTAGATCTCAATAACTCTAAAAGCTTTTTCTCATTAAAACGACTTCTAGCAAAATTGACTTTTTTCTGATAATGTGACTATATTCTCATTATTAAACAATTAGCAATAATTTTGTAGCTTGGCCCCAACACTCTGTTGTGCAAAGGGATGATTGATGTAAAAGTCTTTTTTTTTTAAATATTCTCTGTTATTTGTAATTTTTTTTTTTTTTTTTTTTAAAAAGAGGAAAAAATAAATAAATGTATTAAAATCAGATCTTGTGTGAAAACAAAGTGAGCTTTTTAAGCCATATCGTCCTACTGAGCATACATCTTTATTACAAGAGTTTGAACTAATCAATTTCTCAAGCATACAATGAGGAATTGGGCTAAGAGGGTTGGCATAGCAGACTTTTTTTAATTTTTTGCACAGGTCGATTGAAGTTTATAACATTTTATATACAAATTTTATTCTAATCTGAATGCACATATTTGTCCAGGCCTTATTTAGGACCATTTTATCGGGTCATTTCACCAATTTCACTTCTTCAAGCAAACCTTACAGGAACATTCTGTATCTAAATGTGTGGAATAAACAGAAGGGGGTATGTATAACTCAATGAATAAGAGACAGAATAACAGGTTAGAATGAGTGTTTGCCATGATTCAACCTTTATATTACTACCCAGCACACAGAGCTACACGCGTTTCAAACAAACACTTCTCCGTTATGTATGCTGCAGTTCCCCTCACCACCAGCTGGTGGAGACATTTCCATGAAGAAATCCCAATGAAGAAGCACATGCAGTTTTCAGGCAATATGTAAGCTACCTCGAAACACAAATTTGCATGTCGGACAGTGTGTTCACATTCACGCCCCACCTGTCTCTGCACCCTCGGAGAAGCGGTGTGCAGGAGAGAAAACAGGTCCTGCATGAGGGTGAGCTGTTGCGCCAGATACTGGCGGCCCACGTTGGAGCCGCTCAGAGCCAGAACCATGGAGAGGAGCTCGAAGCAGTAGGCGTCGGATGAGGCGTCGTCGTCGCTGGGCTGGGAGTTGGCGTTCTCCTTGCTGGAGATGGCGTGTTCCCACTCCTCCCTCACACGTGTGGCTTCCATGCGGATCGCCTGAACGATATGTGCGCACACCTGGAAGCAAAAGGCAGCGGTTACATTGGACTGTGGACGCTTTAAAGATCCGGTGGTTACTTTTGAATGGTTTTGACGTTTACTTGTTTCTGCAGGTTGGTTAGTTTGCTCCTGCTGAAGATTATTCCCACCATGTGCTCCTTAAGATCCGCATCAGATGGTACCTGTTTGCAGAAAGCAAAAAAAGATAAAAATAATCAGGAAGGAACGCATCAGTTGGGAGGAAGCTACACAGAACTGGATTTCTACAGACCTTATCCTCTCCTTCCGGAGACGAAAGCAGATTTTTCTCCTCCTGCTCTGGCGTCGGCTCTGCGTCTCCACAGATTAGTTTGCCAAAAACCTAAATGCAAACCAAAGAATTATACTCGCGGTTTCAGTTGAATGTATTATCTGCTGATATAACCGCATGACGGAGACAGCACACCAGATTGACAGACCTGCGAGGTGATGAGGCGGAAAACTCGGAGTGTCTCGGCTTCACAGTTTTTCTGCTGAGCCATGCTGGCTGAGATTTGTCCAAGGATCTTGATGCTCTCGCCCTCCTTCCAGCCAAGAACCTTCACCTGGCGAACCCTCAGGGTGTTTTCGGGGCCTTTTAACTCCACCTTGATCACATGATAATCGCCTCCAGGGAGTTCACTCGTCACCCAGCCCATGTGACGCGAGTCAAGGTCGACCTGTAATTTAAAAAAAAGAAAAGTTAAATACACTTTACAAGCATAATCAATTCATCTAGCCATTTTTCATTCCTTCTTGTCTTTTAAAAAAAGTCAACACAAATTGGAAGACAGCCAAAGCAACAAGTCAAAACTAACAAAAGGTTTATAGAGTGAATATGCCATTTATTTTATGCCCAAAATCGTTTTTAAATAATTTCTCACGTTACGTCACTGAAATGGCACGTACCTGCTTGATTCTGCAGAGATCCTCTATGGCTTTTCCACAGAGAAACGTTACTGACGTGACTTTGTTCTGTTTGCACAAAATACAAAATATAAATGCCCTGAAATCCATAATACAACATATTTTCAGTAACTTAATTCTCAATTATGCCAAGACATTAAGTGGAATATATTACAAGCCAAATTATTAACACTAAGCTAGTGTTATTTTACCAGTTGTTTTTTTTTAAAGCTCAATATAAACAGTAGCATAAAAAAAAACAGTGTACGCCCAGACTGAAGGCGTAGAAGTAGAGGATAAAGGATGCCAGAGAAATTGACTTGATGAACAAGTGATTTCCTAAAAAAAAAAAAAAAAAAACAAGGGATAGCTTGTCTGACTCCTCTTTTTAGTGGATTAAAAAATAAATTTAAAAATCAGCAAACTCCTTATTGTACTGAAGCTGCTGCTCGTTATTAAAAACATATGCTTGAAATTGAAACAACCATCTTTTTGTCTCTAAAACGAGAGAATCAAGCACGTGTTACTGGTTTTAAATAAAATTGTCTCAACTTGTACAGATCAACTCCAGCTGACTTTAAGAGTGGATCCCAAATTTTCCAATCACTGCCATATGTTGCAATTCCACAACGGATCTTATTTTTGAATCAAACACACCGGTGTCCTTTAAAACTCTACAGCCTGGTTTGGTGTTGCTCCTTACCCCGATGTCTCTGGAGTTGTCCACATGGACAGAAACTTTGGTGGCGTTTATGCCTTTCACGCAGCTGAACGTGATGCTTTTGGTCTTGTTCTTGTCCTCGTCTCCAGACTCCCAGAAGGTCTCCGTGGAGCCATCAGTCAGGCTGCCAATCATGGCGGGGCGGCTGGAAGTTTTAATGTCTACTACACTGGTTAGGTCCTTCAAGCAGGTTACCAGGCAGAGATCCTGTAAAAACACAAATTTTCTCCTGGTTTAACGCACAGCAGATGAGCAGTAATAAGAGCCAGAACTGGTCTGCGTTCTTGCCTGGCTCATAGCTTCATAACCCGATTGGACGCTGATGTTGAAGCTCTCCTCGCTGTCCCCGTCGTCCGACTTGGACAGGATGTTGTTGATGTGATGGAAAACGTTGCTTTGATGGAGGAACTGGTGGTCAGACTGCTTGAACTTGAGACTCCAGCACCTAAAGCGACGAGACACAAACAGCAAAGCTTAACGTTTGCCTGTCTGAAATCAGAAGACAATCTGGCAAGTTATTTCCATGACAGTGGCATTCCAGAAGCAGAGATTTTTACCTCAGTGCCATCTGCTGTAGTGCACTGCCACTAGGAAGTGACATCATGAGGTCAGAGATTGTCTGGAGAAGGCGGTGGAAAGTGTGGGGAAGCGGATGGGCTGCCTCCCCGGCGATCACTATGTCCGACAGAGGGTGTTCACAAACCCCGAGGTCTCTCTCCTATGTAACCGTGGAGATAATTCATGATTAGGAAAAGTGACACATAAAAAGATCACGTAACTGTAAGCCACTCTTGCCTGTTCTAAATTTTCCTTGTTCCCCTTATTCTCCTCATCTTCCTCATCCTCTGGCTCACATGGTGAGGGAGTGAGAGATGCTACAAAATGCCAGAGGATGTCGTGCAGAGAAGTCGTCTGGATCACGTTGCACAGCAGCCAGTTGAACGCCTGACGAGAACATAAAAAATTAAAAAATTGATCACAACGTCCGACATCGAAAAGCAAAATTTCGCAGCCACCCACAACATCCGTACCTCCATGGCAAACACCCTGCAGGCAGACTTTCTCAGAGCGTGCTTCATGGCCACCTCCAGGCCTTCAAGGTCATGGTGTTGGATAACGAAAGCCAGAACGGGCCACTGGAAATTCCTCTCCCCTTTATTAAGTGAGCCATGAGCCGAGATGAGGCGGGACAGCTCAGGAGACGGGTGGCGCAGCAGGGAGGAGCCCACTTCTATGTGGAAAACGGAGCGGTTTATGCAGAAATAATAATGCCACGACTCACTCCAAGCGACGCAAATCACTTTCGCATTGATCTACCTGCATCGCCGCTATGAACTCTCCGTCTGGGCACGGCTTTGACTCGGGCTGGAGAGGGCGAGTGTTGTTTGTCGTACTCTGATGCCACAACGGAGTAAGACCTCTGAAAAACGGTGCGCTTTGCAGTGTCACTGTCTGTGATCGGACTGGTTTCAAGGCTAAAAGGAAATCAAGACAAACGGAGCAAAACTCTGGGTTAGAATATCCCGAAAGAGAACAATTTAAGCTTGTTCTGTTCAGGCATGTTATTGGCTGAAGTGTAGACAGTATGGACGTCAAGAGATGTTTAACCAATTCAGTGCTGTGAAAAACTATTTATGCCCGCTGAACTTTTCCAATGTTACAACTACAAACTTCTGTGCATATAATATTGTGAAATTCTCACAATATTAAAGATTAATTGTGAGTCCATTGCAAATTTTCTGCAAAAACTGTTAAAAACATGGGGTTTTACGTGGCTGCTAACTCACCGCCTGCAGGTGGCAGTACTTCTTACTTCTATTACACTTTTACCTCAGCCTTACTGTAATAGTCTGATTGATATGGCGTGAATAAAAAGTCGTAAGGAGTTTTTTTTTTTTTTTACCTGGGGGGCATTGACTTCATATTACTTTCTGGTTCCTCAAACACATTGGGACAAGCGTCCGGTGTGACAGAAATGTATGGGGCAGGAACGGACGTCGACCGCAGATACCTCATCTCATCCTGGAAAAGGTTGTCATCTTGATAAGCTCCAAAGTTCTCAGTGTGTTGCCTGAAACAAAAGACAAAAAAACAAAACAAACCCCAAAAAGACATCATTGTAACCCTCATTTTCTGTTTTCGCCAGAAGAAAGTTGAAGTCGCCCTGTAACTACCTGGCTAGCGTTTGTAGATAGAGGCAGCCCATTTTATTGGGGAGTTCCTCTGACACGCCCTCCTTCAGGCTGGGGAGCAGCTGCGAGTGAAGGGGGCGGGGAGGATGATGGCAGAGCATGCTGGGCTCTGCTGCACTGCTGAGGGACAGCAGGAACAACGCGTTGGCTCGGATCACCTGGTGGGCCTCCATGGTGGGTAGAGCTCTAGGAGTCTTCACCTGCAGAGGCTTCTTCCTCGACTGTTTCACCTTTAAGATTATGTTGTCCGTATTAGGTTAGATTAAAAAAAAAAAATGTAATCATAGAAGCAGAAAGGAGACGGAGATGACAATTCGTCGACGTATGCTACCTTTTCCCTAGCTGCCGTCTGTTTCTCTCTCAGGTATTTCTCACGACAGCGATCACAGACCAGGTACCAGGTGCTGCCTCCTATGCCTCCATCTCCACAATTCCCAGCCCAGCCTCCACAGAAATGGCCAATACTGTTGTAGCCCTGACCCCCGGCGTAACGACCGCAACCTGGATTGGAAATGCAAAAGAAGCTCGTTTGAAAACCGATCGGGACGGGTTTGCGGTTTGTAAGGAAAAGGACTTTGCTCTTCTCACCTGGATGAGCCTGTCTCATGTGGTAGGTGACAGGATAAGGGTGAGACTCCCCACACAGCTCGCAGATGGTGTCTTTCTCCGGTCCTCCCATGGCGAGTTGAGCCATCTCTCCAAACAGATTCCCTCTTGGACGTACCTCCGCCTTCTCCCTCTTCTTCTTCTCCTTCTTTGCCTTTTTGCTGTCCTTTTCGTGCTCCTTCTTCTTTAAGATGGCGCTGGACCCCGGGCTGGGAAAGATCATGTTCTGGGTGGCTGCTTTGATGGTGGCCATCGAAATGTCTTCCCAGAACGCAACCAAGTGCTGCAAGGTTAGCGGCAAAATCGACTTCGGCCTCAAGCAGGGGTGAGAGGTCATCTCATAAGACGAGGCCTCCCCTTTCCCATCCTCGCACTTCTCTGGCAGCGGAGGCTCCTTCAGCATGGATAAGACTTTGTTTTTGTTGATGCTGCCCATTTTGGAGATGTCTGGGCCGTGGGGTGCGATATTAAACATGTTGAGCGCAGAAGAAATCTCCAAGGAGTGACGGTTTTTCAACTTGCTCTCTTTCTCCTCGGGTCCCTGTCCGCCCAGCGAGTTACGAATGGGGGCTTGCTCTTTGGTCAGGTCGGGGTTAAACTTGAGGAAGGACGAACAGGCCATGGCGTCATGGACGATCCCCTCGTGCCAGAGGAACGCAGCGAAAACCGCACGAGCGCATTCAGCCACCGAGGGAGACATGGCCTGTTTGACGGGCTCTGCGATTCTCGATGTGCTCTCAGCTTTGAACAGAGGCCCAGATTTGTCTTTCTTGGGACGCGTGTGTCGGCTGGACGTCTTGCGGCTGACTTTGGGCGACGAGCGGCTCTCCAGCTCCTCTTTGACAGGAGCTTTGCCAATGCTGAAGTGGACTTTGCACGAGCCCTCCTCCGAATTGCGGAGCTCCGCGTTCTCATCATTGATGTCCTCGTTGGAGAGGAGAGCGCTAGAGGTGCAGACCTCCACTACCTCACTGTGGAGGTTCTCCTGGGTCACATGTGGAGATGGAGCACGGTTTTCTGCATTGCTGATCACTTCTTTATTGGGATCTTTAGGAGACAGCTTAGATTTAGGAGACGTAGATCTTCCCCTCAGCGGCTCTGTGAGGGGAATCTTCTTCTTCCTGAGCGTGTCCGGATCAAGAGTGTACGAGTCTGACTTGGATCTCTCCCTGGGAGGATCCAGTTTTGCTTTAGAAGAAGGGCTGACTTTGGGGGGTAGGTTTTTGTCATGGTGGCTCGAAGAGGAGTGCTGGGATAAGTTGCTCGAGGGACTGGATCGTCCCGACGAGGACACGCCTTTTTGTTTGGGAGAAGAGGAGCGAGAGCCTGGATTTGGCGACTCGGCCCGACTGCCCGAGGTTCTACCGTCCGCCTTTAGCGCCTGTAGAGTGTTGTGGTTGGGCGAGTGGGAGCGGCTGTGAGAGTCACTCCTCAGCTTGGCCGTGTCCGACCGCAGAATGAGAGCTTCGCTGGCCGAGAGGCCGCCCTCGCTCGTTTTCACCCGGCCCTGTTCAGAGGAGTGGCTTCCTCGACTCTCTTGCTTGGGGGAGCGGTTTTCCTGACGCTGTTTGCTGGTTTGGGACACGGAGCGCGCGCCGGACATCAGATTCCCTCGTTCGCCTAAAAGCATTGACGATTCAAACACATACGAGTTAGAAAACATGCTATTATCGTTGAAGAGTCATTAAAAAAAAAAAACAGCAAACACACAAAAAATTGTAATGTGTCAAAACAAACAAGAGAACTAAAGCCTTGAAGATGAAAGATGTTAAGACTCGTGATTAATAAAGGTAGTTAAAAGCAATTTTTAGAATGGAATTAGTCAGTGGACAATGAAAGCATTGATGAAAGATGGTTTCCAACCCAATTTTGAGGAAAGCTCTGTCAGAAATCAAACCAAAATGGTTTACCAGACAAGTTTGTAGACCTAATTGATACAAAAGCTAAATCTCTCTCTTTATGCTCCAACCTTATGAATTACAGCAGAAAATTAAATGCTGTCCTATTAGCAATAGAGGATTGTAGGTATTACCAGCTAAGGTATCAATAACTGTTAATGGTGATTTTGTAAAAAGAATTTTTTTGAGAAAATGGGATTTTTTTCCCACCAGTGAATAAATGTGCTCAAATTAAAGGTCGGATTTTTTAAGTTTTTCAGTGTATGATTATGGTTATGAAATTAAAAATAAATTTATTTAACAGCTTTTTATACGTTTTTGCCAGAGGGCTCTGTCCATGTTTGTCACTTTTTGCATTCAGCAAAATTTAGGTAATCAATATTGTCAAACAATATTTTTTTATGCTCCTACTAATTCCCTGAGCCGTACTGTCTAAGCAGTAACACCCAGATTCCAAAAACGGTTAATCATAACATAAACATAAAAGGCTCCACAGAGGAGTTTTTTTTTTTTTTTTTCTGGAGTTCATACCCACCCTCTGTTGAGTCTGAAGGGAGCATGCAATCTGTGATTACCCACCCTTTTGCCTTAGAGCGAGAGATGAGAGAGCACTACCATGACCAGCCACCGACACACTGCTTTTGTGCACACGCTCACGAGAAGCAAGGCTGCGAGATGAGCCATCTACTGTGGGAAACAGTGGAGCAGGTAAACAGGCCAGACATGAAATGCAAGACAGAAAGAAAGAAAGGGAGGGAGGAAGAACAGACGGACAGAAAGGAAGAAAGAACGAAGAGGAAGCCAATGGAGTCAAATCATGAAGCCGAAACAGGAAAACGACAACGCACAAACTAATGGGAAGATATATAGATGGAACATGAGGAAACAAGACACTTAGAAAAAGTCAGTGAAGTCACAGAGGCCTGTGGGTTTTGTGAAAAGAAACTTGTTGCTTAGACGTGTCAAGTGATAAAAAAGCATTACGTGATGCAGAACACCACAATGAACGTTTGGTTTTTAAATATTAGTAGCTTTTGATGGAAGGAATTGAACCGTATTCAATAACCAAGAGCCTGACATGCACACATCTACAGAAACAAAGATGCACAAATGGCAAAATGTAAATAATGGGCCTGGGGAAAAATGACCAGAAAAGTCTTAAATCTGCCATTTGGAGCCAAGTTGTTTTCCCAGCAGTTTTTTTTTTTTTTTATTAAACTCTGACCTAAAGATACAGATTTGTCTCCAAGACATTTAATTATTCTTAAAATGTGGGGAAACACGTGAGAAACATTTTTAAATACATATTTAAAAATTGTATCATGGCTATTTTTAGATTTTTCTTTTGTATTCTTTCAAGCGATAGCTACAGAGAATTTCCCTTTCATGCATGCATCACAGAAAAAACAATAATGCAAGTTATTCTGTATTTAATCTGCTCATCGCAGGCAATCAAGGAAGTTGTGCTTTAAGTTGCATCTATGTTTTAATGACCCTCACAGGACTCTGCAGACAGACAACACAGAACCAACAAGAAAGTAGACAGCAACAATGCCACAAAATAAATCAACATGTGCAAAGAATATTACTTCAGCTGAAACCTCCAAGGATCTTCCAATCTAAGCTGACCGTCTTTTATATCGTCACACTTTTTCATTTAAATGATCGAGCTGGCATACAAAAATCTGCACAGGCCACTGCTCTTAATGCTTAGATAAAAGTCTCGGGCTGGCTGAGGTGGGAAATGAAATGAGACGCTTATGTGGCAATAAAAACCATGAAGGAAACGGAGACGATAAACAACTGAGCAAGCACAGCAAACAGAAATCAAAGCAACTCAGCCTCCTATGTGAGCACATAGCAAAAATATTCATTTTACCAAGATATTAAGTCTAAGTATTTCAGCTTGAAATCTTGTTTTCTTATGAGTGCGTTTTTTTTTTTCCTTAATTACAAACCATTTATTTTTGACTAAAAACAAGATTTCAGCAGTAAACATTAGACACGCAAGCTTGTTAAAGATATTTCTGCGCCATAGAGCAGTAGCGTTTATGTGTCACTTATCACCCCTCTTCACCACATAGAATATTTAACATGGAGGAATAAATCAGGAAAACAAAAACATTGCAAGGTTAAAAAAGATCAACACCTGTGTGAGCAAGTGCTGTCAGAAAGCAGGACAGACTTACTCAGAAGCTGTGGTTGTGGCTGAGACACTTGGGAGGGGGACTGTCCAAACACAAATGGGCTGTGGACAAGGGAGGAGGAGGAGGAGGAGGAAGAGGAGGAGGAAGAGGAGGGAGGTTGGGCGGCTTGATCAAATACGGAGGAAGAGGAGGGAGCTGCTGAGAGGAAGGGCCCAGACTGAATGGAATTCAGTATGGCACTTAACCGGTCACCTGCAAATATGAACACAGAGGAAGTGGAGAAACTGCAGCTTATATTCTGGTTTTTGAGGAAGTCAGAGGGGGGGGGAGGGGGGGGGGGGGTTCAGGGTCGGTTTGTTCATTTTGTGCCAAATCATTCAGTTACCGCCGACAGCACAGATTTACTAAATAGGAGGAGCCGAAATGGACATACAGCTTCCTGGAAGTCCTTTTGTTAGATGTGCAACTAAAGGTCCTTTTATTAAAAAGTTAAAATATAAAAGACTGTCTAAAAATATATATATAAAAAAATCCAAACCACATTATATTTAACTGCTCAAGCAGCTCAGGGCGTGTAATTTAAAATACTAATCCTTCCCAACATCTCTTCTCATAAGTTTACATTTTAGGTCAGTTAAATTTATGTTAACCACACTCATTCACAACAAAAGCCATCTACTACAACTAATCAGATAAAGCAAATAAATAAATTCACCATTCAGTACATCTTGTTTTAATTCAATTCAATCCCAATTAAACTTTTGGATATTACCTAAAGGTGGTAATTGATCAAATCAGACGATGGAGTTCAGTAATGGTTGACTCTAGGATAGAACCTGCTTTTGAAAAGGGAGGTCAGGGCTCCTTCCTGAAGCCCAGCTCCACAGAATGCTCACTAGGGGAAAATTGGAGCATTGGCTTCTGGTGTTTGGCTGAGCTTAGCCCAAAAGTGCTACAAGAAGGCCCCCTCTCATACTGCTCACAGCTCACCTCACACGTGACTTCAAAGTCAGGTCAGGCGCAGGTTAAGCAGAGGTGTCATAATGCGACTTTCAAGACTTTAAATATTACATTGCTCGTAGGAAAAAGAGTAGAAACTGTGTGTGGTGGTGAGCACCTTCAAACGGCCTCGACTCTGGGACCTAGCCTGCAGAAATGGGGTGGACTCTCTTCTTCTCTTGAATTTCCAAGCAAGACAGTATTCAGTGGGTGCAAGGGATGCCCACAGTATTGGTGTTGACCCCTCCACAGGGTAGACTCTTTGGAGGGGAAAGTCTGTCTCTTGTCAGTGCTTAGACACGGAAAGGTAGCTCAGATTACCCAGCTTCATGATGATAATGATGGTTTTACCTAAAGGGATATGATTGGTTTCCCAAATCTGAATCTAAACATTAAGTTACTGAATTTCGCTATAAAAAGGAGCACTATAACAAACACCACGTTACAGCACAAGGTGGTCCATGTATCTCACGTATTGTCACCCAGTGGTGAGCGGGATCTGATGCATGGGGAGGCTGCCGGACAGACCTTATAAAACTAAACAATGCTGAAAAAGAATTTATAACGTCTCGAAGAAAGCCTCGTTTTCTGAGATTTTCAGTCAAAGTTTCTTTCATGTTTCATGTTTAATCAAGGGATGAGGATGAATGTCATGGAAGTTCAGCTGTCCATTTCACATGGTTTTCTGGATGTGGCTCACACAGCCATTATCATTTTGTTGGGGGTTCAGCAAGAGTATGCAATGCCAGGGAAGCTTGCAAGGGTCATCCAGTCCTTGTATATCCAAAGTAAGAGCCGTGATCACATTCTTAGCACAAAGTCAGTCTCGTTTCCAGTGCAGGTTGGATTCTACCTGAGCTGTCCATACTCAGGGTCACCGTTTATGGTGTTTAAAGTGTTTCTCAAGACGTAGCCATGGGAATGAAGGCATCTACCCCGGAAACCCTCAAGGTCTTAACTTTGATCTTTCCAGATTATGTAGTTGAGTTGATATCTGCAAGTCAAGAACTTCAGCATTTACTGGGGTGGTTTGCAGCAGAGTGTCACATGGCTTGAATGAGAGTCGGCTGCTCCAAGTCTGAGGTATCCTCAACCTCTCTCCAAGTCGGCGTAGAATCTGCTTCAAGCAGGAGAATTCAGATACAGTCTCATCTGAAGTAATGTGGGCAGTTTGATGTGCTGAAGAGAAACCAATGAACCAAAAGCAAAGTTCTCAAATTACTCAAAAAGGGATGGATGGACAAAGGACTGAAAAAGAGGTGCCTCTCTCTTTAAAAGGGCATTGGGATAGACCCAGAACTAAATGGTAGAGCTATAAATCCCTTTTGGCCTGGGAACACAGTGGGATTCCACTGCTGGAACGAGGGATTACTGGGTTTCCCTGCTACTCATTACCCCACCTTGGATAAGTGAAAGACAATGGATGCAAGGATGGAAAGATTGTTGAACGTTCTTTTGTCGAGAAGCCCAATGGATTACTCTGTATATTTATTTCATTCTCTAAAGAAGAAGCAAATAAGTTGCATCTATGAACTGCAACATTTGGCAGTCAAACATTGTGTTGTCACTGTGCTCGATTACACATACATTGTTTTGTGGCTGACCTTCGATCTGATTCTAAACTACTAAACAGTTGAAGCTTAATACTGGTTTTTAAAACCATAATTCTCCGCAGAGCACAGACTCTCAAGAGGAAAACCTCTTAAGCCACGTAGGGCAGAGAAAATCACTGTAGGAAAACTGGCACGACAAAGGCACAATATTCAACCAAAAAAAAGGGGATAAATGCACTTTACTGAGGCTACATCTGCACTGTCCCTGAGGTGATGCTCGCTGTACTTCGCAATGAGTTGAAGATAACTGAGTAAATAAAGGACCACGTATTGTAAAGGAGACTTAACTAAAACAATACAGAGAAAGGGGTGAGAGGGGTGTTCAGAGCCGGCTTCTGCATCCAACTACAAAGCCCACAAAAAAGTTCAAATGACACTGACTGGCCCATGCATGCAGACATATGCCCAACACTGCAGAGATGTGAGGCATGACACAGCAGCATTAGACAAATTAAAAAGCATGCAGAAACCTCAAAAAAGAAAACAGAAAAAAAAAAAAAAACAGATGACACCTTGGGATTCAAAGAGAGCCACATATGTAGAGGAGATCTCACTATAGTTGGTAAAAATAAATAACTTTTCAATATGTTTAATCAAATACAGCAGTGATATTTTGAGATATACAACAGTTTTTCCTGATAAATATGGCCCGGAAAAGCTACAAACCGAGAACAAGATCATAAATGATTTAAACATCTCACAAGGGACAGAGTTAAAGAATCGGTAAACTGTAAATCCATTGGTGATGCTTTCAAGCATTTTCAAAAGCAAGAGAGAAGCATGACAATGAGCTATGATAAATGTATAAAGATGTATATTAATATTAAGGAACATTCCGTTCAGGTAATGTCAGCTCATCAACTGTTTTTGTTAACAAAAGCCATCTTTAGTAAACTCACCTTTGTTGTTGGAGATGCCATAATCAAAGCCCTGTGCTCCATTTGAAGTAGTTGCTCTGTTGAAAGCTTGCACAGAGAAGGGACTGGGAGGCGGGGTCTGATTCCCATGCTCGATCAAAGCTTGTTCTGAAAAATCCAAGTTAGATCGCCTCGCCTTAACATTCACTCTTGAGATATTTAATCAGATAGAGAATCCTCCACAGTAAATCGGATTAATCTGGTAAGATTGCATAAAAACACATTGAGATAAATTTATCTCTAGAGCTGTTAAATTCTGTCACATGTTGTTGGCACACAATGTCAAATGGCAATAAAATCAAATTTGTAAAAATAAACATTCAAGACTGGCTTTCAAAGACATTTTAAATGTCCAAAAACGACAAATTAAATGGATACCGAGGGTTCTGTAAATTTTTCCAATCGCCACCAAACGCTATGAGGTCAAACGAAACTCACCATCGTCATGACGGAGGTACTGGCCACCACCGCGGTCTCTGGCCAGCGACCACGCCTCGCCTTCATCGCTCTCACAGAACTCCACTACACTGTTCTTATCCAGCTGCACCCAGGTTCCCTCTGAGTTCACAACCTGACGCACAAACAACATGTTTTATTCGTACTCTCGCACATCCTTCCAAAGCCAGTTTGATCCATTTCACTGTTCACCCACTCGACATCCAGTTTGTTACGGCACACACAGAAACCAAGAGCAAATCTCTGCCACAGAAGGATCAACGACATGCAAGCATTTGGGTCATCTCAGAGGCACAAGTGTTCATAAGCAGAAGATTACATGAAGCCGATTTCGTCAGAAGATACTGCTGGACAAAACTGTGGTTAAATTAATTAAAAACAACTTACTCTAAGATAGAGGTGATTTATTGAAAGGTAAATGCATGAAGTTGTGTTTTCTCAACGCCCTGGAATATTATTGTTGTGGAAAAACATACACAGACGGAAGTATTAGTAAATGCAGGCAGCATCTCCCACATCCGCACAGGGCATTCAAGAGCAGTCTCAGAAATATACTGAACAGCATGACACGCCACAACAGCCAAGGACGAAAAGGAAGAGAGGAGGCTCCGCATGGACAAGATCACGGGAAACAGAGGTGTTTAAATCAAACTTACAGAGCAGTTAAAAAGAACAAGAAAAGTGAAGTCAAGGTACAGAAAGGCTCCAGGATTTGGCAATCAGGTTGTTTTCTTGTTATTTTTTACCAAGGCAGCTGAACTTGACACCCTAAGATCATCATAAATTTACACATATGCTGGAATTAGTCAGGTGTTAAGTACTGCAGCCACAGAAGTTGATAAGACCTCAGAAAGTGCAAAGGCAGAGAACAAACCCCATGCCCGGAAGCTACAGACAACAGCTTTGAAAGTAAAAGTAATCATGTAAGGAGATCTACACAGACTAAATTATTGAGCTGCAGCCACAAAAACACATTGTATTATTTTTAGGGTGAGTGCGTACCTCGCCTATGGCCTTGACTTTGTTGCCAAGTACTAACATTCCAATAGGGATACCCCTAAGGTTTGGACAGCTTCTGATGTTGTGACCAGAGGGGCCGGTCTTCACTACCTTATAAAGCCCCGGGCCGCCGCCCTGCCCTGCCCTGTTCTGCACCCGAACGGGAGCCTCCTGGGAAGGGCAGCTGCTCACCTCCTTTACGTTCTCCTCCGACTGGCCCCTGACCTCCTGCAAAAGGTACAAGCAAAAATTAAAACAGCAACAAAAAAGGTCTGAGAAGCTTAAAAAAAAAAAAAAAGGCTGGAAACAATGCTGGAATATTAAGTATTCACACTTTTCCCTCCCTTTTTGTGTTAATGTTACAACCACAAACTTCAATCTAGTTGGTTGGAATTCTATGCTGAAAGACCCTCACAAAGTAGATTACCATAATGAAATGGAATAGGTATAAGCTATGCGTACACAAGCATGATTGACAATCAATCATGCTGAAACCATCCTCCACTCTGATAGGTTGTTCCTAACTGAGAGCGATGCATTTCTGCAGATGGAAGAAGGGCAACAATGAGAAGGTGGGACCACAGATTATCCGTCACATATTATGCTGTCGGGACATAGTGACACTTTTAATATGTAAAAATAAAAATAAAAAACATTTTAATAAAAGAACCTCAGCATTTCCATTTGCTGCAATGTCCAGTCAATATCCAGGACTAAATCAGCTTAAAAAAAAAATCTTCAGAGAAACCTGCTGTCTATTCATGTTTGTAAATGAAGAATGAGCAAAAATCTCAGTCTCTGTATGTGAAAAGCAGCAAGAGATCGCCCAAAAGACTTGGACCTGTGTATAATTTTTCACTCCCCCTAACAATTACACACTACTTAGTATCGGTCTATAATATCAAAGAATGCATTAAATTTAATGGTTGTAATGGATCAAAAGGCGAGTAAATTTCAATACCTTAGCACCTAATGCACAATCCATTAGCCAAGCGGGGCTTAAAACCCTTAAAACAAATACGGCAAGTCATCAAAACAAGCTAAAAATAGATGTTTTCGGTTCAGCTAATTCTAAGAGCGTACGCTTCATTCTTTGTGTTCGGGATCGCAGTGTTCTCAGCACACACACACAAAGACACAAGAAATCAAGAATCTATTCAACACTGAAATAGTTCTGACAAACAATGGGCCTACTAAAAAGCAAAAGGCTTTTTTTTTTTTAATACAGCTTGAAGGGAGTCATGCTTGAACATGGGCACTGTGTTTTCATATCACAAAATCTCATGCAACAGCCTGGACATCAACACCTGAGACCCATGCAACTACCAACCCTTTAAAGCAATTACGCAAAATTTCCAAACACCAAAAATGGAGTTGGGCACAGGGGACGTATGAGGCCGAAATGTCATTAACCTCGGCGTTCTAACAACCATGCAAGTACACTTCTGACGTCTGACTCACAAGGGTTTCAAGGCGACACGTGGAATAACACACAGACCGTCAAGCTATTTATCCCCGATTCAAACAACTCACCTGCGGTGGGAATATAGATAAGGGAGTCCATGACAAAAAGGCGATATCCCTGACTCCTTGGCTTGCGTTAAAAACATTCTGAGCAAATCGTAAAAGAGTCAAAAAACAGTAGACGACTCAGGAGGAAGAAAAAGCAGAAACGGGGCGGGGGGAAAGTGCATGTATTTTTTTGGAAGGAAAAAAAAAAAGTTCAGCCCTGGGCATTCTGGTTTTACCGCTTTAAGAGGTTTATTTGAAGAAAAGAAGGACATCGGTTAGATTTGGGCGGATGTCAAATAGGTGGGATTATTGGTGTGCATCACCAATAAAAGGGCCCAAAATGGTTACATATTTAAAGCAATAACAGAAGTTCCCTGCAAACACTTTGGGGAGATTTCTTTCCCCCCCAAAATACAATAAAATATAGATAAATAGGAGACTTCCAAAAAAATCCCCCACTTGGATGATGTAGTGTGCCATGCTGTTCAGACAGAGACCTTTCACTGAAGCCTCCTAGCAACTAAAACATCCCAATGCAGAGGAGGAGTTGCAATGCAGTAAAGTTAAAATGTTACACATATTCTTTTTATGGACCACTGATTAATTTTATAGCAAAAAAGAACCGTTGTAATATTGACCTTGTTTTTAAGAAGAAAATGCTATGTAATAAGCAAATTCCAAAAAAAAAAAAAAAAAAAGTACATACCCTTAAGAAAGACAGTTTGCAAGTCAGATACACCAACTAAAACACCCTTCATTACAGAATAAACCTGCACCACATTTTTATCGTTTCTCTTTCTCCTTGTGAATCAGTCGCTGCATTGGGATTCTCACTAATGCACAAAACAAAGTGGAGACTACAAATCAGGTGTTCCTTTAAGGTGTTCAGCTAAACAAAGAATGAGACACGAGTTAACACATGCACACTGATTAGCAGCTTGTCCTTTGCAGCGTTAGTGAAAGTTTCATACTCCGGTCTTTCTCAGTTATGCGGTTCCCCGAGCAAATATTCATTCCTCTTGAATTCTTTTTTTGTATTTTTGTCACATTGCAGCCACAGAAGTCAACGTATTTTACGTGAGGGAACAACACAGAAGAAAGTAACTGGGGAGTGATTGTAACGTGCTGATCAAACTTGTTTTACTAATGAAAATGTAAAACGATGTTCATTGCTTTTTGGATTTACCAAAATGCATGTGGCATGCATTTGTATTCAGCTCACTTTACTGTATCGCAACAAACTGTCTTCATAAATCCAGCTGCATCGTGAAGCCTTTTCTTTTTATTTTTACAATATTAAAAACATTTATAATTCAATTCTTTCTTGAACAAGAAAATAAACATTTTATTGCCTACAATGCAACAACATAGCATTCCACTAGTAGCAAAGGATGCAGCTGCAGCTAGAAAATGCTTCTAACATCAGCGTGTGAAAAGCTCAGCCTTTTCTGCTAGACTTCACATCAGTGGAGCGTCACTTCGAACTTGTGATTATTTTTTTGAACTTTACCGATTAATAATTTGATACCAAAAGATGCTAAATAGGATAATTACTTCTTTTACTTAATATGAAGCTAAAGCTATGCCACTTGAGTTCAGGGTAGAGCATATTTACCGACAGAGGAGATTTTTTTTTTAATCTTTATTATAAAATGTATATATGTTTTTGTACAGTCTTGTTTTAATTATTGCTCAAAGTATTGCTCCTTTCAGCTACTGGCCTTTTTCTTTTGTCTGTATACGCCACTTAATTAATCAAACCCTAAACTATCAAACCCTAACCCTAAATTTGTTGAGTGTAATTTCAAAAATTGATTCATCATAATTAATCAAATTAATTGTTTCAGCCATCGTTAAAATCTCCCAATTAAAGTGCAAACACAACTGAGAATCTGAGACAAGTCGGGAAAACTGATGTTCCCAGATATTCTCCATCCAATCGGAGATTGAGGAAAGGAGAACGGGTAAAGATTTAGATCTGCAAAGCTGGAAGAGACATGACAGATTCTACCCAAAAGGTTGGCAACTGTAGCTGAAGTGAAATCTATTTCTACACAATATTGACTGGTGGAGGCTGAGTGCAAAAAAAAAAAAAATTTCTGACTTTCATTCGTATAACGTGGGGAAAACCAAGTATCATTTTTATTCAACTGAACTTTTATTTGTCTATCACTTAAAGTCCCATGAGATACATGGAAGTTTGTGGTTGTAACGCGACACAGAGTTCAAGAGGTATGAATAATGTTACGGGACTCTGCATCATGCACAAAAACACCCCGAGAGCTGCCCTTTTTAACTGACCGCTTACCATGCTACCACCAGGACATGTAAGCGAAACCATTGCTATACAATATAGACGAGCTCCTTCCCAAACCAACAGTGCATGAGCCTGTCATCGTCAGGCCGGGTGAAAGCTACTGAAAGCAGGCCGCCTTCTACTTACGTCAGCTGGGACCAGTAGGTTCCTGCCCAGGTGCTGATTAAAAGAGAGGCACCAGGCTTCTGTGTAACCATTCATGTTGGGAACATACTTCTTTACTGTTTCATCATTGAGCCTGAGCCATATTCCATCATCATTGTGGATCTAAGGGGGAAAACAAGCAACAGAGCAGAGCACAGCCATGCCGGCTTGTTACTAAAGGAGACAGAAGGGGAAATCACCCAGATCACAAACATCTGACATCTCTGAGGCTGCAGGAAAGGGTTTTTTTTTTGTTTTTGTTTTTTGTTTTTTTTGCCGTTACGGCGAGAAGCAAATCAGCAGAAATCGACTCCAGGATGTATAGAGAGCTAACAAATTTACTTAAAGTATTAGAAAAAGCACCAGAATCTTTCATGTGGCCTCAGAGTGTCTTGCAAGATGAAATGAAGCAACTTAAAAGAAGATCATCAAAGTTATAAAAAGCAATAATTATTACAGAGAAATGATTCTGTTAAATATACCAAAATTACAGACAAAGTCTTTAAACTTGACATTATTTGTCTCATTTTCTAGTTTGAACTTCTTGATTTAAAGAAGAAAAGCTTGGATCAGAGTAGTCCAGCTTCTACGTCTATGATCTTTTTTTTGGGGGGGTTTTCATTGAGTTACCTCGTCAATAAAAGTGATGGTGCCATTGACGTGCACTATGCCTATCTGTTCACTCTGCAAGGAGGGGTGACTACGGACACGCAGGCCCGCGCTGTCCTTGGACACAAATTTGCGGACCTGATAGAGTCAGAAGGGAGATGGAGATCGAGATCAGCAGAAGCAAAGAATAGGAAGAAATTAACAACAAGAGGTGCATCAGAAGGAAAGAAATGTCAAGGGAGGCACTGATGGTGGGCGCTCACATGCGATTTGTCCCCATACAGAGCCTGCTTTGCATCATACGCATCATCACAGCAGAAGAGCACAGAACATTAGGAGGTGGGTTTTCAGTAGGACGAGTCGGTGCTTCTTTAAACTCGCTTTTATGGGAAAAACAAGTTCCAAAGCTTGTTTATTTATTTTAACAATACCGAACATCACACATTGTTGCTTGTTTCCCCATTATGACATTCAGAAAAAGTAAAATCCTTTTCACAAAATGATGATGAAATCAAATTGGATCTTATTAGTTGACGGCATATTCGTTACGATCTTTCCAGCCTGTAAGCATAAATGGCTGCTAATCCCTCAATATCAACAACAAACTCACTCACTTTCAGGCCTTGATTGTTAATTTTCTCTGGACAACATGCTACAAATCATTTGGGGTTTCTTTTTTAAGATTCAAATCAAACTTGTCTCTTCTTTTTCCTCATCTACTGGATATAAATGGGGATTTTTTGTTCACTCTGGAATTCAAAATGGGCTGGACAAGAGTTGCACATACATTAAGATGCACTTTTTGAGTACTTAATACAGAAAATATAAGTTATAACGTAAATCCTGAATATGTCAATACATTTATTAAAACACTGTTGGGCTCAAAACAGAGTAATCCAATCTAAATATGAACTCTTCAGACATGCTGCATGTTCTCCCTGTGCATCACAGGCACACCAGCTTCCTCCAAAAACAAAACTAACTTAATTGGTAACTCTAAATTGCCCTTAGGTAATTGCGTTCAGGATTATCGTCAGCAATCTTTGTGTTGCCCGGTAACGGACAAGCAATCAGTCCAGGGTGCACCCCACCTATTGTCCAGTGAAACGCTGGGATAAGCAGGTGTAAGACAATGGATTGAAAAACAAATAATCCTTGTTTTAGATGCTCTAAAACATTTCATTTGTATGTGTGTGTGTGTGTGTTTATGTTCAACAGAAAGAAAAATAAAACTCACCTTGCTTGGCTGAGGTTCGGGCTTCTGCTTCACCATCTGAGTCCCAGGTGGTATCATCCCTTTTGGAGGATCTTTGACTTCCACCTCCAACCCAGCATCTTAAATTAAAAAAAGAGATTCAGAACTCAGGCACACACTCACTCACACTGCACAGATGTTAATCAGAGCGTTCACAGAATATGCTCAAAGTTACACCAACTGCTGGCAGTGACAGGGGGAGAGGGGGGGGAATACCTATTTCAATGCCATCGATGGTGACATGGATTGTATAGAGACCGACGGCTCCTGGGGTCCAGTTAGCGCTGTAGGTCCCGTCGGTGTTGGCTCGGATGAGCATGTTCTCACTGGGTCTGTTGAGGGAGGAAGCGGTGAGAACGCTGCGTCTGAGTGGAAAGTGTGGTCTGCATACCGCTGCTTACCTCTTTGGGGTGGGAGAAGCAAAACGCAGCTCCTCAAAAGAGTAGTTTTCATACACCTAAAAAGAAATGTAGAAAATGAGTTTGAAGGTAACAACCAACCTTTTTTTTTTGTGTAATCCTTGTATTACATGTTATTTCCTCAAGTAGTTATGATGATAATTTTACTCTATCATCTGCCCAATTACTACTCGGTAATTGGCCCAATTGAAAACTAAACTGTTGCCCTTCTGTTTTTTTTTTAGATCCCTGGACACATCATCCAGAAAACAACAGGATGAGATATCACTTTTCTGTGATATGAAACTATTTAATTCAGATAGGAGGAGCCAAAGTTTTGAGAAGATTCTAGAAAGGGCAACGTTTTTAATTGAGATTGCCACAATGAACAGTAAGTCTTGGAACCAACTGGATTTAGAAATGTTGGCAGTTTTTGAAACCAAGAATATGTCGTAATTACACCATTTTTTCCTTTAAAAGTGTTCCCTGTCTTGAATAGATTTTGTAAAAAAAAAAAGTGGGATTGGCACATTTCTTTATTTTGAGGTGTGTAGATAGAAAGTGGTCAACTAAGTGTACGAGGGGTGAACCGATTGCAGTTTTCCAACTAATCACTGACCTCTAGAAAGCCTGACCTGCTGATTAAAAAAAAGCAGGAGACAGGCTAAATTAATTCAGAAAAAAAAATACGGAACCTCACCTAACTAATAAGCAATCGGATCCCTCCCTTCTAGAATCCACAACCCTTTTTTAGGAAATGAAAATATAAACGGAGAGTGAGTGAGTCATGCTGACCTTCATCATAGTAATGGCAATGTATCGAGCTTCTTTCACTATGACCGGCTCATAGGTGGCTTCCAGCTTAGGCATCGGCAGACCTCCAAAGGTGAGGTCAGGGCCGGAGGACGAAGGAGAGGAGCTTCCAGGAAGCCTCTGCAGCTTCCTCATGTTATCCGTTTGAACAGACTTCTTCTGGGAAACTGGAACAGCCTTTACCTCCACCTACAGATAAAGAAGATAAAAGCGGAGTCTAATTGGGTAAAATAACACTATTACAAAAATTTATAAGCCATTAAAATCTAAATGTTCCCAAAAGAAGGAAATAAATTAATTAATTAAAAAGCATATCCTTACCTTCATGTTGGGAACATGAACCACATCCCCATACTGATCCTTAGTCTGTACGACCACAGTGGCCGGCCATCCACAGCGGATATCATCTTTGTTAAGGATCAGAGAGGTCTTTTGAGGATCTGCGTAAGAGTCGGGCTGCAGCCATCTGGACAGAGCAAAAAGGTGAAAGAGTTCAAGTCAAGTTTATCTGTTCAGTAACGAGGCAGCTCACAGCGATTTGCATCACAAAAACATCAATTATGACACAAGCAAGAAACATCACATTTTGTCAAATGCCATCATTAAAAATTATCAAAACACATCAACTATGTTGATCGACGTTCCGGTTAGTACTAATCAAAGACGACTCTAAGCAGGTGTGGATTTTTAGCCTCGATTTAAAAGAAACAACTATTTCTGCTGTTTTGTAGTTTTCTAGAAGTTTGTTTCAGATTTGCAGTGCAATATAAGCTTCGTTTTGCTCTCAGGAGGTGCTTTGGGCTCTGAAGCATCGTGAGGAAAGCAAAAAATGGCATGAGAGGGCTCTTGTTTCATATATTTGATCCGTTTGCTGTTCTCCTATGATCTATTTATTCTCACTCTAGTGTGTTTTTGATTTCAGCGTAACGGTGCAATGGCAATAAAATGGACTTGACTTGATTTGTCAGCAACAAAGAGCAGCTGCACACCTGGCCAGTCGCCCTCCGCTTGAGTTTGATACGCAGGTGATAAAATCCTCCAGAAAAGAGTGCTCGTTTGTTTGGATGTGGAGGGGCAGATTGCCCTCCAGGGCCTCCAGTATGGTAGGAGAATGAGAGAGGGCCAGACCTTTCCCCAGAATCCCGGAGTGGGCCTTACACACCTAGGAAATGTGAGGTAAAAAAAATATATATATATAAGTGCTTAAGAAATGTACACTTTTACAGTTAACACACCTCAGGTTTAATTTTACAGCTAACGTACCTGAAGGGAGGCTTCCTCGAGAATCTCAAGATCTTCCTCCAACTCGTTTCCTAAATTAGAAACAGGACCAAACATAGATTGATACTTAAAAATAGAAAAACAGATTTATTAAAAAAATAGCCATAAGGGACAAGAAAAATCCATTATTCTCTGTCTTTCATACCAATAGGGAGGGCTAAATCTTTCTTCATTAAAGCTGCAGCACACACGCTGCCCAGGAACGCCAGCTCTTTCTCTAACTGGATTATACCCTGAAAGCCCAAAAACAATAGGATGAGAGTTCACATTCACCTTTAACAGAACGTTGTCAACAAGCCACAACATCCAACCAGTGTTCAGACTTGCAGTGGACCAGATTGGAGAACATTTTAAGCACAGGGTGTAGAGGGACAAAAAAGAAAACAGAATTTTCTATGAAACTGAAAATTATTAATTGGTTGAGCTGGAATACCAGAAACAAAACTGCAGCTCATAATGCGTCACAGTGTGTGACTTCATATTTAAGTGATACATGCACTTCAGACATGTAAAATGTTAATGTGCATTTTCTTTCTTGCCACTCTCATCTTAATTTTAAAGTTCAACTGGGTGTCAAGGTGCTGCTGCGTGTTTTTTTTTTTTTTTTTTTTTTTTTTTTTTTAAATCCCCTTTAAAACTTCTTTCGTGAAAAGGGGTTTTTTCCTTATTGGGGGCGGGTTTTAATTTATTCT